CAACACCATAGCATCAAATACCTCTTAGAGAATGACAATTTGTGGTAGTTATTAATCTATCACCTTTAAAAAATAAAGGGCCTCCTTCAGGGTATGTCTCTGCTGTTACAATAGACAACATGGGCAGCAGTGTGCAGTTAAAAGCCAATGAGTCTCAGTAAGCTAGTCCCAGACCCATGAGATTCAGGCAGATTTCTGGTTGCAAGTTCCAAGTTGAGCTCCCTGTCCTCCTGCAGGGTTGCACTCTGTAAGTTTCTACTACAGGTTTCAGCTGCTTTTCCCTGAAGAAAGTCCAGTTTCCAATGGGAGCTGGTGATCCCTCCAACTTACCAATCACAGGTGTGCGTTTATTGCAGAGATTCCCTTTACTTTTCCAGTGGGCTTGTTATCATTAGGGAGCCTGAGATGGGTGCTCTCTCTGTTGTTCACTTCTGCCGCTTAGGACAATGGCTTTTATGTCCCCCTGTGCCTCTGCAGTGTGTAACCAAGTAGCTGCACAGCTAAAAGGCCAGAGGCCAGGGTCGGGGGTCGGGGGGCGTTGTTGGAGGCGCCCGTGCGGCCGTCAGCTGGTGGGCCTGCCCGAGGGCGGGGGGGGGTCCTCCTCACCCTGTCCGGGTGGCAAGCTGGTGCAACAAGCTGGAGCAAGCAGGTCCCAGTCAGCCTGCAACCGCTCGGCCCCTCTCGGCCCCGCCCAGCTCCGTTCCGCCGAGCCGTGGGCTGGTGGGCCTTGGTAATCCTATTCTTAATGCACTCACGGCAGTGGTCAGCATCATTAAGCAAGGGCCCCCGACACCCCAAATCTCTGTGTGCTACAACAAACACCCCCACAGGGCAAGTAGCAGCTTCCACCAAAAGACACCAAAAGGGATGGTTTCTTCGTAGAAGTCACTGCACAAATCTGTGGAGCCTTACAATAGGGAGTGGCCAGGTCATCACTAATTCTACAGGGAAGAAGCAAGTTCGTCAGAGGCGCTGGTTGCAGAGTTTTGAGCAGGTACCTCATCCAGCACCCTGAGCCATCTTGATATAATTCAACTTACAAAAGAAAAAGGACAATTTCTGGTGATCGTATCTTAAAAAAACATTGAGACTGGTGTCAGAAAAATGAAATCCCAAAAGTGTCATTTTTCCAGTTCTTTAATATATGTATCCCCAAAATGGGATAGAAGATTTTGTGAACCTGTACTAATGTGGAAAGAGCCATATAAAGTAAATAAACCAACTTACAAAATAATATATATTATATCATTCCATTTTGTGTACAATCACTGTTAATTAATGTGAGTAATCAAACATGGGAAAACTAAAGACTTACAATAGCTGCACTGGAGAATGGAATCACTGGGACTTTCACTTCAAATGTTTTCTATTTCTGAAGTTTTAGATATTTTACCAGCATGTATTACTTTTTAATGTAAAAAGGTATGATTTTACAGTTAAAATCAAAAAGATTCTTTATAAAATATAGATTTTTTTCTAATAAAAGAACAATATTGAGATAAAATCAAGGATTAGTTTTCCTATCTACTAAGTATGCAAACGCAGTTGACAAAATACTATCTTGTATAACTGGTTTTTAATACAACATCCAAAATTATATTCCCTAACTTAATAAAGATGGTCTGAGCATATAGTATGTGAAAAGTTATTTTAAATTATCAATACTGTATGAGGAGAAAGATAAAAATAAGTAAAAAATTTTTGCCTCTTTATGCATTTTTAAACTCAAATATTCATGGCCTCTGCCCTCACTAAATAATTAGAATTGGATTAATAATGCCAGTTTCTTCTTTTGGTAAATGTAGATAATAAATGATAACAGTAATAACCTCTAGAGGGTTATAAGAATTAAACAGATAACAAATACAAAAGTCTTGCTCTCGGACTGGGGATTTAGCTCAGTGGTTCCGCTGCCTGCCTCGCAAGCGCAAGGTCCCAAGTTTGATCCCTGATACCAAAAACAAAAAAAATTTTGCTCTCTTTTTGCTAAATGCTTAACAAATATTAGCTGCTTCTATTTTAATTTTGTTATTATTCCTATGTTTTGTGAATCTGTTTCATGGAAGAAGCTCTGAAATGTTCGCTGCATTGCTGATGAGAAAGCTGTGCCTTAATTTTAGTCTATTTTTTATGTCTTTAATGAGATTAGGCATAGGGAAGTGTCATACAGAAGTTCTTAATGCAAATAAAATTTAAAATTGATTGGTTTTGCCAATCAATTAGGGACTGAATCAGGGCCTCAGGTATGCCCTGTACCAAAAACTGACTTTTTGTCATTGTAAAAGTTACTTAAATTGCATTTTGGATTCTGTGTTTATAAAATAAATTTCTTGTAAATACAATAAAAACAAAATATAAATTTCATTGTTCTTAAATTATAAAATGGGAAGTTTTGTCTTTTTTAACAACACTGGAGCCAACATTAGCAACTCTTTCCAGCATGAATATATTTTAGATAATCATACATAGAAGAAACCATATAATTTAGTAACTCTTAAAATCATAATGACTTAAAGAGATAATTTAGAACAATAGTTCATTCTAAAACATAATCTTGATTACAACTAACATACCAAATATACCCAAATATAATAAATTTTAAATTACATGATGATTTTTGATATTCATTACTTACCCTTTTTCATATGTGAATTCATCTTTCAGGGAATTAGCTGATGATTCACCAATAAAGACAGATGGAATGTCAATTTTCTTTAACACATCAACTATATAAAAGAATAATAAAATTATTTGTAAAACCCAATTCTTAATGTACAATCAACTTATCTTTCTTCATAATAACAGCAAATGCAACTGGAAACAATTACAATTGGCATTCATTGTCTACTAGTTTATTTTTTTAGATTACAGATTTATATTAATCAAAATAGTTTGGAAATATAACACTTATGATTTTTCTTTAACGTTTATGATTTTTAAAAGGTAATATTTTACATGTATACATTATCTCACTCCATTTCCTCAATAGTCCTAAAAGATTGAGACATAATTATATTTAATGTTTCCATTTGATTTATTCCTCTATAGATATAACTGTTAGAAAAGGAAGCTGAGGAAGAAATTTTAGATTTTCTTCCCACACATAATTCCTAAATAAAAAAGAAAAAAAGCTTCTTTTACATACCCATTTCCAGGAGAAATATAAGCCAAGAACGTAAGACCAGTTTATACCAGTCTAAAAAATAACACCACACCTCTCTGGCTTCCCAAAGAGAAAGGCTAACAGGAGTTGTTAAAAGGCAAGAGATAACATAGCTGTGTAAACTTCTACTTCCCCCTAGACTAGGAGTTCATGGTAGAACTTTCTGTTTTGACTGTAATCTCAAGAAATTCAACTCTTATTCCCATAATTAAAACCCAAATCAAAGGCCGCCAAAAAAGAATTTTGTAAAAATTACCCATTACTCAGTATTATTCAGGAACAGAAATAAAAACAGGGTTTTTTTCTTTCAAATGTATGACTTCATAGTTCATTACTTAACCAACTGCTAGTGCACAACTAATTTATTCTACATTTTTTCCTTCAATGTAAATTCTTTTTAAAAAAATTTAATTAGTGCATATTACTTTTACAAATTAATGGGTTTCATTTTGGCAGATTTGTACATGCATGTAACATATTTTAATAATTCCCAACACTCCACCTCCCCTTGACCTTCCCTCCTCCCTCTCCCTTGTTCCCTTTCTCTTCTCTAATAGTCACTCTTCTACTTTCATTTCTCTGGGGTTTTTTTATTCTGCATAAGAGAATACATTAAAAACCTTCTGCTTCTTAAGGGACAGGCTACAAAATGAGAGAGAATCTTTGCCAGATGCTCTTCTGACAGAGGGTTATCTAGAATGTTGTATATAAAGAACTCAAAACAAAAAAACTCATCATATAATCTATAATCAATTAATACATGAACTGAACAGATACTTCTCAAGAGAAGAAACACAAATAACTAGTAAGTATATGAAAAATATTCAATTTTCTTTAGCCATCAGAGAAATGGAAATCAAAACTATATTGAAATTCCATCTCACCCAGTGAGAATGGCTATTATTACCAAGAATATAAAAACAACAATTGCTGGTAAGGATTTGTTGGAAAAGGAACACTTAATACACTGTTGCTGGGAATGTAGGTTAGTACAGCATCCCCTAAAACCTCATTTCCTTTTACAGTCAACTCCTCCTGCTAACCTCATCAACCACTGATCTTTTTCCCTAAACCACTGATCTGTTTTGTTTTGTTAGTCTTTAAAAAGACAAGTTTTAAATCCTGATATCCTTGGTATATATTACAGTAAATTTTTTTTCATTCACCTTTTTTTTTTACACAAATCTAAATATTCATTCTCACAAACATAAGGCCCTCCCCTCACAGACAGACAGACAGACAGACACACACACACACACACACACACACACACACACACACACACACACACCCCAGGAGGGCAGGAACAAAAATGGCTAGTCAAGGAATACTTAATCACTTTTTATGTCAATGGGATCAGTAAACATTTTATTTTTGGATCAATGATATAATAATAGAAAAACAAAAAAATTTTTCCCACTCAGGATACACTTCAGATATCCTGTCATGTCAATAAAAACCATCATCTGTAGTAGCAACTGAGGTATTGTTATAGGACTATTTATATTCTAGGGAGATATTTTTATCTTGTTGAAAGATTTTTCTTTATAATATATAAGTTTTACTTTGACAATAAAACTTGAAATTACATACTCTTTGTAAGATACTTTCTTCTTTCAAGACACTCTGATAAATTCAAGGAGAAACTTTTGGCTTATTACTATTGGCTTATAATTTTTGGAAATAACATAACCTCTTTCAAATTATGATAGCTAAAGAGATGTAGAAAACTCCTCATGCTAGTAAAAAGATTAAAATGGAAAGGGGAAAACACTATATATGTGCAAATATGAACAGCCACCTTGGAAACTGCAACATTATTTATGTACTAAAAACAAAAGATGTTCAGGGCTGGGTGATTTAGCTCAGTGGTGCCATCCCTGCTTCGCAAGTGCAAGGTCCTGAGTTTGATTCTCCCCACAAAAAAAGATGTTCTTTGTCCATTAATCTATTGATGGACATACAGGCTACCTCCACCTCTAAGAATTAGCTATTATGAATTGTGCTGCTATAGACATAGGGATGCATGTATCCTTATAGAATGATGTCTTTAACTCTACACCATGGAGTACTGCTCTGCCATAAAGAATGATAAACTTGAGTCATTTGTGGAAAAATGGATGCACCTTGGACAATAATGTTAAGTGAAATAAATCAGACACACAACATAAATATTGCATCATTTGTCTTATATGAGAAGCCCAAAGTATAAATAAAGAGCAAAATAAAGACAGATAGTAGGAAGTATGGAAGTAGATTTTTCTCAAAGGGGAAGGGGATCAAGAGATAGAGGTAGGGGCCTGGGGATTTAGCACAGTCCTGAGTTCGATCCCCAGTACGAAAAAAAAAGAGAGATAGATAGAAGGAGGGAAAGGGGCTGAAAAAAGGAGTTAAGATGTATTATGTACATATACCAACTCCACACAAGGAATGCAAATATCGTGTACTGCAAACAAGTACAAAAAAAGGAAAGGGAATCAAGAGATGAATGGAGGATGAGTAAGAAGGGAAGAGAAAGGGGCTGAAAAAGGAACTGAGATGTACATGTACCAATTCTCCACAAGGATTGTAAACATGTATTATAACCATACACTAATAAAAAATGAAGATGTTCTAATTCACAAAAAACTTTTATAAACACTAAATTTTAATTCTGATAAAACAATTCTGTGAAACATATACTACCAAACAGTACTATCATATTACAGATAAATGATAATTTCAATGGCCAGCTCAAATTTCTCCAGATCCAAATGTCCAGCTGCTTGTTCAATATCTCAATTTGATTAACAGTGCTTCAAACTTACTGTTTGTTAAACAAAACTCTAAATATCTTTTTTCCCTAAACCAACTCTACTCTTCCTCATCTCTGACCTGGTTTCTCATGATAAGCAACCTGAAATCGTTCCTGACTTCTCCCTTTCCTTCACCTCCTATATTAAATTCTGTCTACTACAAAATATATCTAGAATCCTACCATTTATCACTTTTACCGCTGAGACTCCAAGACATCAACCACTCTTGCCAGGTACTGCAGCAACTTTCTTAACAGTCTGCTGTTCTCTTGCCCATGTTTCACATTCAATCTACTCCAAAGAGCTGCCAAAGCAATCCCTTACACCACTGTTTAAAAAATATTTAGAATAAATTCCAAAGTCCTTATCATGTCCTACAAGGCACAACATGATCTGACACCTGGCTCCTTCTCCAACGTCATCCCTTGCCACTCTCTCTCCCTTGCTCATTCTACTCCAGGTTCTGGCTTTCTGCCATGCCTTGGTAACCATCATGTTTGCTTTATCTTAAAACCTTTCCACATGCAGTTGCCTCTCCTTGAACACTCCAGAAATCATTATGACACAGTCTCTCACTTTGAACCTACGCTCAAATCTCAGTGCCTTACAGAAAGCCATTTCTGACCACCCTATCTAAAATAGCCACATGTCCCACATTCCTGTCACTGTATAGTCCCTTAGCCTCAAATATTTTTCTTCATAGCACTCATTACTACTTCACGTAGTAGTGCAATTATTTGACTATGTGTTCATTTCTTCTCTCCCACTCTAGAATGTAACAATAATAATAATGATAAAAAATAATAACAGCTGAAATACTTTTTTTTGTTTTTGTTTTTTGAGACAGGGTCACAATTCAAGCTGGCCCTGAACTCACTATGTAGCCCAGACTGGCCTCAAACTCAAAGGATCCTCCTGCCTCAGCCTCCAAAGTGCTGAGATTACAGGCATGCCCCACCACATCCAGCTACAGAACCACTTTTAAATGATCACTAAGAACTAGGCAGTTAAAATGTTCACAGGTCTTAAATCATTCAAACCTCACAGGAACCCAGTAAGGTAAGTACTATTATTATGTGCATTTCACAAATGAGAAAATGGAGCCCCAGAGGTGTTAAGCAATGTACACCCAGCTACCAGATCACATGGCTACTAGGTGATGGAGCTGAGACTCAAACCATAGTAAGCAGCTTCTAGAAAGAACTCTCTTAACTGTTGTGTTCTATTCCCTTAATGAAAAATATGAAGGCAAAGCCTATGACTATATCCTTCTTTGGTAGAGTTACAGTACCTACACATTGTTAATACAGAATAGGCTATCAAAAGCTATTTGCTAAGAGAAGAAAGCAAGGGGGAAAGAGGAGAAACAAATCCCAAGATACTGATAACCTGTTTTGGTTATACAGTTAAGGATCTGCCCTGCCAGGAATCAAACTCGCATCATCTGGCTCCATAGCTAGGATCCTCCTACTGGGCCATGGGTTTTCTCACCCAAATTCTCTTATTTGCTATTTATACCCTTGTCAGCCCTGATAAAAAATTAAATGACTCTGGGGGCCGGGGATTTAGCTCAGTGGTTCTGGCGCCTGTCTCACAAGCACAAGGACCCGAGTTCGATCCCCAGTACCAAAAAAAATTAAATGACTCCCATATTTAGAGATGAAAATAATGGATTTAGGAAGCTTAATAAACCTTCTCAAGGACTGGGCCTAGTTCACTAATCTGGAATAAAACTACATTACCCGGTTCTGAAATTAGTGTTTTACCTACTATATTCTCTTGCCTCCTTAAAATAATGTTAATGGCTCATAGAAATAACCTATTCTGTGCCCAAACTGAAATAAAAATGGGCACATTTATTGTGTGAACTGTTGGCAGCAAGGGGTTTTTAAAAATTCCTTTTGTTTCTAGACATAGAATCTCCACTCAGGAAAACAATGATATTCCTTATAGCAGTGGTGGCAAACCTATGGCATGTGTGTTATTGTGTTTTTCTTTTAAAACAAAATATGTTTTTTGTTCGTTTTTGTTTTTGTTTTTTGGTACCAGGGATCCAACTTGGGACCTTGTGCTTGCGAGGCAGGTGCTGGAACCACTGAGCTAAATCCCCAGCCCCCTAAAGATGTTAATGTATGAGATTTAATTGGTATTCAGCTTAACTGGAGTGTTAGCACTTAGTGATAAATAAGTGAGTTTTAGGTTACAGTTTGGTACTCGATCTCTAAAAGATTCACCATCACTCCTTTATAGGGAGGAACTAAGTCCTGAAAAGAGGAATAGATAAACTCCCTTCTAGTGAATTTATGCAACCCTTTCCCCTACTAAGTAACAGCAAAAATTAAAATGGTAAAGATCTTCACAGTATTTGGCTTTGGATATATGAAATATTTAACTACATACATACACCAGGACAAAGCAAAATATCACAGAAAGTAATCCAAGGACTAAAAGTCAAGAGCCAAAATTCTCAGTAATTTTTGAAATACAACAACTTAGTTGGAACATTTCCATGGCAACAGCACAATTATAAGGTTATGTGCTACTTTTAATATTTAGTACATTCTCCTTAGGAGCTGACATGATTATCACAAAAAGTTTTTCTGGTACCACAAAGTATGTGCTAAAAGGAAGTGACATTTTCACCTTTAAAAAAGTTCCATTGAAAATATGTCAAAATAATAACAGTATGTAAGTGATTATCAATTTGGTCAACCCAACACCTACTTAGCCTTTGAGAAGGTCTTGAGGGTTTACTAAACCCTGGGCTCAGGCCTTCAGCAAAACACATGAAGAGTAAGTAACACTTAAACTTACATAGCTAATTTAAGTGGAAGTTGAATTAGAATTCAGGCCAGAGTATGTGTGTTTTCCATTTAGCTGTAGTGTATAGAGATGACAAAAGTTATTGGCCTAGCATGTTGTCTTACTCACTTCTCTTATCACTGAGAAACAACACCTGAACTTAAGGAAGCAGAGGTTTATTTTGGCTCATGTTTACAGTGCATGGTCAGCTGGCTCAAGGCAGGATGATGGCATGAGCAGAGGAAAGCTGCTTATGGCATGGCAGACAGGAAGCAGAGTCAAAAGAAGTGACCCGCTTCTACCAACCAGGCCCCACCTCCTAAGAGCAACTAGCTATCAAGCCCCTATAATTCAATCACCTTTTAAAAGCCATGCCTATGAACACATGACGCTCTTGGGGACATCTACAAATAAACCATAACATTCCACCTCTGGCTCCCAAAAGATTCACGCATATCCCTTTATATAAAATGTATTTAGTCTATCTCTAAGAGTTGCCAGAGTTTTAATAGTGCCAGCACTGCTAAGAAGTCCAGTCCAAAGTCTCCTCTGAGATGCAAAGGCAAACTCTTAGCTGTGAGCCCCTGTAAAACTCAAAAGAAAGTTAAACACTTCCAACATATAATGGCACCAAATAAATATCCCCATTCAAAAGGGAGGAACCTAGGGTAGAAAGAAATCAGACCAGGGCCAGGGATTTAGCTCAGTGGTGCCGCCTCCTGCCTCACAGGAAGGTCCCGAGTTTGATCCCCAGTACCAAAAAAAAAAAAAAGAAATCAGACCAAATCAAGACCAAAAACCAACAGGGCAAACATTAAATCTTGTAATTCCATACCCAGCACCTGAGGCAAGCTGGTGTGAAACATTGTTCTGGAAAATCACAGAAAGAAATACACAGAGACACAGAATTCGGGTAAAATAATAAAAGTTCTACTTGCAAGCAGGCAGGACTGCCAGAAACCGGTCTGGTCAGTGTCCACGCCCCTCTTTGTTCAGTTTCTCCTTTTTATATCCTTTATATCCATTATCTCATTCCTGGTGAGTAAATACAATTCCAGCTCCTATTTACAAGTAGATCCTGTTAATGATTATAGTCACAAACACACATAAGCATATGACAGTTAAAACATCTACACTGTAAATTTACCCAGGCATTGCAAGTCTGTTTCTCTAGGTTGAAATGTTAGCCATAATGAAGTTACAAGTTAAAGAGTCAGATAACCATCACCTTAAACAATAAGAGTTAGGGGAAAAGCAAATCTTAAAGGAATACATTACTTATTTTGCTTCTACAACTAACTTAATATTCAATCTACTAAGTTATCTAAAGCTTTTCCCTATCATTCCTCCCTCTGTTTACTTCGGGATAATTCTTCTATCCATTATAAGTTCTATCCAGTTTATCTACATTTCTTAACACTAGCATTTGGTAGTGTTGAGCTGCAGCAATGCGCTGCTGTATAAATTTTGAAATCCATTGGATGACACAAGGACCAAACATTAATATTAATATTATAATAAGAAGGGGACTCAGAAGAGGTCCTATCCAAATTTTCCATCCTGCCCAAGTAAAATTAATTCCATAGGACAGCTCTTCTGTACCAAATTCATTATCAAGAGCCTTGATCCGATCTTTTGGTCTGTCTAGTGATTCTTTTACCCACCAGGTTTATTAGCATAATAACAACACTCTTCAACAAGAAATAAGCAAGTCCCTCCTTTCTGGGCTGTGAGCAAATCGAGAGCTCGCCTATTCTGTAATATGACATTGGCCAGTGAATCTAGTTGGGTTTCTAAAGTGCATCTCGAATTTCCTCAAGATCTTTTCTAATTTCTTATCCCAATGAAATATATTGTTTTTGTCCTAGGCCAATGGCAGTTGCTCCTAGAGTGACACTTCCTGCAATTGCAAGACCAGCTAGGATGGGCATCACTACTGGGTTCCTTTTTGTAATATAGTTTGAATTTCTTGGAGAGCAGGGGCTTTTTCTATTTCAGGAGGAACAATTTTCCATATATTTTTAATTTGTAATGTCCACCATTTTGTCCTTTGGGGTCCATGCCTAGCGGTGGATTTATCTCCTATATAAATTTGATACATTACTCCTTGTAGCCACATAGAGTCCCATGGGGCTGGCATATACACAGATATAGGATTACATTGACCTTGTTCACAACTGTCACAATTGCCAGTGGCTCATCCTACATGGGAGCCATTGATCCAAATTTTTGTTTTCTCTTTGCAATATAATTTCTCATTAGAATAGCCCTCACAGTCAGAAGCTACCCCAGGTCCCCCATAATGTTCTTTTGGGCAGGCATCAAAGAACATTGTAAATGAATAGCCTTCCAGTTCCCATTTTACTGTTTTAAAAGTCACATATTGCTCATCAAATTTTTCATCACTAGGCTTAAATACCCGCAGTTTGAAAACAAAGAAACTTAGAGGAGTGGTGATCTGGCATAGCACAATAGTTCATATTATCTTTGTCGGTGCTCCCATTCTTCAGCCGTGCACTACATCACCAGCCTCCAGAATGGTGGGAGCAGCGCTTTGAGTGCATTGTCTTTCCTGGCTTCCATGTCTGCTTCATTATTACCTTGTGCAATGAAATCTTTGCCTTTTTGATGTCCTGAACAATGTATTACTGCGACTTTGCTAGGTTCCCACACTGTCTCTAGCAACTGTACAATTTCCTGTTTATTCTTGATTTGTTTCCCTTCTGCTGTGAGACCTTGTTCTTGATAAATCATGCCATGGATGTGCAATGTAGCAAATGCATAGCGAGAATCTGTGTATATATTTACCTTCTTATCCTTTGCCCATCAGAGTGCCTGTATGAGTCCCCAGAGCTCAGGACGTTGTGCTGACCGAGCCAATAGGAAGAAGCACCAGCTAGGATCACCTCATCCTTCATGGTTATCACATATCCAGCATGATGAACCCCATCTTCCACGAAGCTGCTCCCATCCATGAACAGAACGAGGTCAGCATTGGACAAGGGTGTCATTTTTAGGTCAGGGCGACTGAAAAAGAGCTCATCTGTGACACTCAAGCAGTTATGATCAGGAGGGCCTGTCTGCATGGGCAAGAAGGTAGCAGGATTTAAAGCTTTTATAGGAATAAACAATAAACGGAGGTTCTCAAAGAGAAGGGCTTGGTACTGGGTAACTCTATTATTTGAGAGCCACTGATGCCCTCTTGTGTTCAACAGTTCCAAGACTGTGTGTGGAACCTGCCCAGTCAGTTCCTGACCTAGAGTTAGCTTGTCTGCTTGTTGGATTAATAAAACTGAGGCCACTAAGGCCTGAAGGCAAGGAGGCCACACTTTTGCTACTGGATCTAAATTCTTAGACAAGTATGCCACTGGTTGGTTCCATGGGCCTCCTTCTTGGGTTAATACTTCAAGGGCCACATGGTTCTTTTCAGTCATATATAGAACCAAAGGCTGCTTTACATGTGGTATGCCTAAAGCAGGGGTGGCTCCTAAGGTCAGTTTTAGTTACTTAAAATCTTTTTGTTCTATAGCCCAAAGTAAATGATTTTCTTCTTTTCCCTTTAGGGCTTCATAAAGAGGTTTAGTGATCTCTGCAAAACCAGGAATCCAAATTCTAAAGAAGCCTGTTGCCCCAAGAAACTCCCTCAGTTGTTTCTTTATTTGGAGTTCAGGAATGGCACTAATAGCCTGTTTTCTTCTATTTCCTAGATAACGCATGCCCTGCGTTATTTGAAAACTTACACATTTAACATGTTGTATGCAAATCTGGGCTTTCTTCCATACTTTATATCCAGTTTCCTGTAAGTGTAACAACAATCCTTTTGTGCCTTCCCAGCACTGTTTTTGGGTCGGGCTGCATAACAGTAAATCACAGAGCTCTGTTCCACTGTCTACCATAAAGGACATATTTTGGCGCCCAATCATTATATTGACCATGGGCTCATGGGGGCCTAACTGCATTAAGCACGGTCTGTGTCAGTCACTGTCTTTTATCACAGGTAACAGTGTGCCAGTATCTTTTCTTTCCTTTAATTCCTGCTTTTTCTTTTCTTTGAGCTTTGGGCACTTGTTCTTATAATGTCCTTTCTCTCTGCAATATGTACATTGGTCAAAATCTAAGTCCTTACGTTTAAAGCCTTTCTTTTGCTTTTCTTCTGATTTCATTCCCTGTCTTTCTTCTTCTTTCTCTATCTTGGCTCCTATGTATTTGGCCTGCCTCTTATCTCATTCATCTTCCCTTTTAACTGGTTCCTTCTCTCACACTGACTCTCTGTTCACATACACTTTCCTAGCCAATTGCAGCAATTGTGTTATATTCAAACCCTCCCAAGTTTCTTGCTTTTTGAATTTTCCTTCTAATATCTGGAGCTGACTGGGTCACAAAAGTTGTATTGATTAACGGATGGTTATCAGGAGCACCAGGATCAAAGGTGTGTACATTCTGTAAACTTCACAGAGCCACTCATAAAATCTCTCAGGGCTCTCATTGGGCTCCTGCTGTGTTTCTAGCACTTTAATCATGTTTGTAGGGTTTTTATTCGCAGCTCGTATCCCTGCCAGGAGGGCCATCGTCTGATAATTGCTTAAGCTGTCCTGGCCTCCTGGGGTGTTGGGGTTTCAATTGGGCTTCTCATTCACTGGAAATTGCTGTTCATGCCAAGCGTCTGGATTTTGTGTGCCTGCCAGCATTTTAAGAGCATTGATCTTTTTAATTTCTCCTAAAATTCTCTGCATTTCTTCAGAGGTTAACAAAGTTTTACAAAGTTCTTTACAGTTCTCCCAATTAGAACGATGGGTAGCAAAGATGGAATCAAATAACTGAAGCATTTTGGAGGGGTCTTGGCAGAGAATAAATGACCTAGCTTCCTTTGTCCTTTTTTTAAGTCAAATCTCAAACACTGCACTTTGGTCTGACAAATTTGTGCTTTTTTCATGAGACTTTATACCCCATGTCTTGCAGGAACTCAAGGAGGGCCTTGGCCCTTCCCAACAGTCTTTTAACTCACTATAAAAGAGGAGGTCTTTTATAACCTGTTGGCTCTTAAACCCTTTGAAGACAACCAATGTATACATATTATAGTAACGTATTTAGAATTTAACCCTTTGACAACAACCAATGTAAACATATTTAAACTTTTCATAACAAACTTGAAACCAACAAGCAAACATACATATTTTCTTGATAAATCACTTTTGCACATCTTTTTGACATACCTAGGCCTTCTGGTCTTATATATCTCTTTTTATCTTTCTAATAAGACAAACACAAAATTTTTTATATCAAAATTGTATCTCTTTTACTTATAGCTTTTTAATGTATATATTTTTTATCTCACTTACTATAGACCTTTTATCGCAAACTTGTCTTTAGCTGTTAAAATTTTAAAGTGTCCCTTTTTTCTGTTCTCAGATTGTTACACTTTAAATTTGGTTGGCTAAGCAGTAACCTTCACTTTTTATCAACAAAGTACAGAAAAGAGCAAGTTAACCCTATAATTACAATTGAAGAATTTGCAATGTACAAGAAATATTTTAAGCACACCAATTAAACATCAACTCAAACTGAAACACAGATACATTTATCAACTAGCAAAATTTGTTGCTTGATTTCTCTTGTAAAATTTCTTTATGTCTAGTAAAGCACAGTTATACTTTCTCTAGCTTTGTTTTATGATCTTCAGAGCTTTCTTATCTGTTTTCAATCCATTACTTATTTTCTCTTTCTAGTTTTTCCAATTTGAGTGTAAGCCCCATTTAATCCTGAGTCTGACCACAGCATGCACCCTCTGGTGCTCTAAAGCCAAGCAATTCTCATGCTTTTGTCCCCACCTCCTCTGCACCTGTGAATTTAGCAACTCAAAAGGAGGGGGAAAGTCTAAATTCTCTCGGTCCAGGACTGAAAGGACTGGTTTCTTTCTAGCATCATCCCCTTTCTGACGGAGGACCAGGATATTGCTTTTTGCTTCCAGGGAGCACATATGAAGCCAAGGAGGCTTTCTGTGGCACAATTTGAGCCATAAATCAATATAGGGAAATTGATCTGGATGTTCCCGTCCAGGGGCGGTGACTGTTAGCCAGACGGACCAGACAAGACCCTCATCTAGGGATCTCTCAGTTGGTCAAGCTGAGCAAAACAGGGGCCATTCTAACTCACAAAAGGTTCTAAGTTTTGTGAGTTTCACCTTAATACCATAATTTCCAGTAAGATCTTTCTTAAAATTCTTAAGCATGCATTCCAAAACAGTAGGATGAGATGTTTCTGTCCCCAGGATTGGCCAATCAGAGTGTTGGTGTGTGTATGGATATCCTTGTACAGAGATGCAAGACAAACAAAGGTGGGAACCACTTATGAGAAGTGATCACTCGCTCACCTGCCTGGCTACAAGCCTCTCAGCCACTTTAAGGTCCATTCAGGCTAAGGTGGGGTGTTGTGTAAGCTCACCGTTGTGCCTTTGTTAAACACAACCACAGAATCGCAGGACAGACCACACTCAGGCTCCGCAACTCAGGGAGGACTCTTTAAGCGTAAATGCTTCCTCTCTCTGTCTTGGTGCCACAGATGAGTCTGCCTATAAGGTTTCGCAGCTCGTTCCACTCTCCTACCATAACTCTTTCACTCACACATTCACTCAGAGGCTATTACATTCCCTCCCGGTGACCCCCTAACTGTAACCAAAACAAATGAAAGGAGCTACTTCCCCAAATGGCAAAGCACAAGGAGTGATTGGGCCCCTGAACTATTTTTGCCCAAAGTTCACAAAGTGAACCAAAACAAATGGAAGGAGCTACCTTTCCAAATGGCAGAGCACAAGGCGTGATTAGAGCCCTGTGCTGTATTTGCCCAAAATTCACAACGTGAGCCAAAACAAATGGGAGGAGCTACCTCCCCAAATGGCAAAGCACAAGGGGTGATCAGGCCCCTGCACTGTATTTGCCCAAAGTTAAACCGAAAGTTAATGACTAGGGGGTTTCCTGGGGTTTCTCACCCAGCAAAGGAAAGAGACAGATGAGACACCAACAGCATCAGCCCTCCTTCTGTTGTCCTCCATCTCAGGTTCAGGTGATCCACAACTGGGGAGCGGGTCTCCGTGTCCTGTTGGGGAGCCTGGGAAATTGGTCCCAGGGGTGCGCCTTTCCTCTCAAGGAGACAGAGAGTCGCTCCCTCCAGGGGGGCTTGGGGCGATGCCCAAAAGGACTATTTCATTCCCGATTCTTGGTTAGGGAACCAAATGTTCCAGAAAATCACAGAAAGAAATATACAGAGACACAGAAGTCACGTAAAATAATAAAAGTTCTACTTGCAAGCAGGCAGGACTGCCAGAAACTGGTCTGGTCAGTGTCTACACCCCTCTTTGTTCAGTTTCTCCTTTTTATATCCTTTTTACCCATGATCTCATTCCTGGTGGTCTTTGATGAGTAAATATAATTCCAGTTCCTATTTACAAGTAGTTCCTGTTAATGATTATAGTCACAAACACATGACAGTTAAAACATTTACACTGTAAATTTACCCAGGCATTGCAACTTTGTTTCTCTAGGTTAAAATGTTATCTATAATGAAGTTACAGGTTAAAGAGTCAGATAACCATCACCTTAAACAACAAGAGTTAGGGGAAAAGCAAATCTTAAAGGAATACATTACTTATTTTGCTTCTACAACTAACTTAATATTCAATCTACTAAGTTATCTAAAGCTTTTCCCTATCAATATGAGCTCTAAAGGGCTTGGGAAGCCCTGCCCCTATTGCATTGCTGCTGGATGTAGCCCTCCTGGCCTCTCCCTTTGGCTAGCTTTGCTTACTCCTTGTGACTTCCTTCAGATGTTCCATGTTCCTGGCTTCCACAACTTCTTGAGGTCTCCTCCGTACTTTTGGCTTCACTCTCACAGCTTCATGCACTTCACTCTCCAGGAGCACACTGCCTGGCCTCATAGGCCTTCTTCTGAAATCTAGGAAGAAGCCTCCATGATTGTACAGCTCTTGCATACTGTATTTCTATAAAAGCAGTACCATACGTATGGCACCAAGGTTTCCTGATGATTCCAGCAGTTGACAGGCCCTATTGCATTATGGCTACAGGGGCCTCTGAGTTCCTGGATGGCTGGCCACTGTGAACAGAATCCCAGGAAGCCAATTTCCTAGGTCACCTTTCTCAACCACTATGCCCTGGGGCTCTCTCTTCTAAAAGCTAAATCTTGATAGATGCATTCTTGCTGCCCATGCCCTTAAGCCATTTTTCCTATTGTCCCAATCCAAAGTACTTGGTTTCTTTTTAATGCTACTCTTTTCAGCAATCAGGCTCTCCTCTGCTCCAACTTTGCAGGCTCTAACTTTCTAGCCAAATTTAAAACTTTTTAAATCATTCATCTGTGCCATTTTCTCTTAAGGATTTTTCAACATAGAGCTCTCTAAAAGCCCCAACAGTACCCATGCCACAGCCTCAACATTAGGCTGTCTTGAAATTCCCTCTGCCAGATTAATTAGTCTACCATTCTTAACCTCATTTTCCCAAAAAATTTCAGAACATGAGCAAAATGCCAACAAATTTATAACAAACATAGTCTAGAGTTCAATTGTCAATTGGGATCCTTGTTACTGATTGTTATGGTTTGTGTTTAGATGTCCCCGCAAAACCTCACGCAAATGAGATGGGACTTTCTTTTTCAGAAGTAGTTGAATCTGGAATATGTGATGCTGGGGTTAAGGATGTCTGATTACTAAACCATTACACGTGATGAGTGATTAGTTTGGCACTGCCCTAATCCCAGTAGTCTGAATAAGATAAAAGGGGAAGAAAGATGCTGTCAAACCCTCTTGTTGCCTTTGCTACCTTGTGCATGCCATGTTGTTTCTCCTCTGTGATGTCTGTTTGCCACCCCTGTCTTGGAGGCAGTCTACTATAGACTGAAACCTCTATGAACTGTAAGCCAAATAAACCCCTTCCCCTCTACTTTGGGAATTGGGTATTTTGTCTCAACAATGAGAGAAAAGTAGTCTTTTCTCTGATCTTTGCCAGCTGCATTACTGTCAGCATTCTGATCTTCTGAGCTCTCACCAGAGTCTCTCATTAAGCTCAGTTTATAGCATTCTGGGGCTGCTTCTACAGCTAGCATCTCCAAACTTTCTGAACTCCTTCAGTGAACCAGTTCCAAAGCCTTCTGAACCACATAATCAGGTACTCACTGAATCAGCCCCACTTCTGACGTATAAACTAAGATAATTTTTTAAAGGATAATATTTAAAGAGAAGAAAAATATCAAATTTACACTACCTTCTGCATACCAAAAGGAACAATCTAACAGAGTGAACATATATAAATACATTCTAAATATCAATGCCCTTCTGGATATCAATATCTTTGATATGCAAAGTACTGATATTGACAATATATCAAAAACTTCAAAAACAGCAAAAAAAAAAAAAAGATTTAAAAATATACAATAAATCCAAGAGACATTTCTCAAAAAAGACATACAAATGGCCAACCAGGTATATTACAAATGCTCAGTATCACTAATCATTGAGGAAATGTACATCAAAATCACAATAAGGTATCACCTCACCTCAGTCAGAATGGCTAATAGCAAAAAGACAAGAAGACAAGTGCTAGAGAAGGTATGGAAAAAAGGGAATCAGTGCATACTGTAGGTGGGAATGTAAATTAATACAGCCATGATGGAAAACAGTATGGAGGTTCCTCAAAAAGTTAAAATAGAATTAGCAATTGCATTACTGGGTTATATCCAAAAGAAATGAAATCAATGTATTGACAAACCATTGGCCCTTCCATATTGATTACAGCACTATTCATAATAGCCAAGAAATCAAAACAACCTAGTGCCCATTAACTGATGAATGAATAAAGAAAATGTGATTCATAGACATAATGAAATCCTATTCAGCCATATAAAAAATAAAATCCTATCAATTTCTAATAACATAGATGAACTGGAGATCATTACATTAAGTGAAATTACTCAGGCACAAAAAAGACAAATCTCATAGAAGTTGAGAATAGAATGGTGTGTGTTGTTTATTTATTTATTTTTTTTGGTACCGGGGATTGAACTCGGGACCTTGCGCTTGCGAGGCAGGCGCCGGAACCACTGAGCTAAATCCCCGGCCCTGAGAATAGAATGGTTTTTAGCAGAGGCTGGGGAGAGTAGGGAGGAGGAGAGATTGGGAAAAGCTGATTAATAGGTACTAATAATTTAATAAATAAAGAAATAATTAAGGAACTCATTTCATTTAATATAATTTTGCTTCATTATCTTAAGGATAAAAAGAACAAATAATTTTTAAAAATTTCCTCAGGCCTAAGAAGACATTTTGTCAAGAAATATAAAATATCTGTTATCAAGGACATAGTTATTTAGGATCCTAAATACATTTCAGTGTACATCATTTCATAGTTTTATGGCTACTCTTTGTTCCAGCCACTACCTTGGATATATAAATTGATGGAATTTAGTAGCAAGTGATACTATAATATGTATTAAAAGAAAAACAAAAGTAGAGACCAAGGAAAGATATTGTCATTTCAAAGGAAAAATTATAGACATATCAATTTAATATCAATGACATTAATGTCAATAAACAACTTATATGAGACAGCACAAGTTACATGGCTTTGAAATTCCACGAGATCACAGTAGCTACTTAGCATATTTGTGTATTCTAAAATTTAATATTGTGAATCTGTAAATCAATTACAAATTTTTTCTGTATCATTCTTAACTCAGATTATTTCTAAAGCTTTGGTTTTCCTTTGTTTTTTTAACAAGATATCAATAAATAAAACACATTGGCAAAACAAAAAAAACCTTAAGTGTTCAGAAAAGAACCAGTCAATCATGCCTATATTTTAAATAAAATCATCCCAAGAGAATTAAGAATTCGGAAGTATTTGGTAGAGAAGAAATTTTGCTGTTTAAACAGACAATGAGAGAAGGAAACTGTTGTTCATTTTTAGTTTCAAATGATCTGACGAACAGGAGAGAAGAAAAGTGATACCTGTACTTACTGTCGTTGGATCCCATGCTAATGAGGTCGTCAGAATCAACATTGTGAACAATAGCGGCTTTGTATCCGGCTCTCTGTGCATTTAAAACCTACAAATCAGAAAATACTTATAAAGAAGACAGTGGTTCATCATAATACCCCTCAACCTCAATAAATATCAATGAGTGTATAGTATTTACCTGGAACTAGATTTTGTACATAATAGACGTAACTTTCAGGTGTTCTTCACACAGATGTTTACAATTCATTATCAAAGATTTCTTTAGATATATTCCTGATTTCATTCATGGTGTTAAGTCAAATCAGAAGCCAATGAAGGACAGGGACACAAGCTCAAACATTAAAAATCTGTTTAGGCCAGGTGTGGTGTTGCACACCTGTAATCTCAGCACTCAGGAGGCTGAGGCAGGAATAACAGCCTGGGCTACATAGTGAGTCCAAGGCCAGCCTGAACTGTATAGTGAGACCCTGTCTCAAAAACAAAAACACAAAACAAAATCTGTCTAGCTCAAAAATAGAGGCTTGCTGTGATCAGGCTCAGGAGTCATCAGACTCTGGGGATTCAAATGCAACCTCTGCTATTTATTAATGGAATAAACTCAGGAAAATTATTTTTAATCTTCAGTTTCCTAAATTTAAAATGGAAATGACAACAATGTTTTAGTCACATATAAAGAATACTTTAAAATGCTTAAAATTATTCCTAACACATAGAAATGTGTCAAATACAAACAATTTATTATTAGCTTGATCAGCAGGGTTTCTCTAAATTCCTTTTGAAAGCTTTGAAGAAATTAAAAATACCTCCAGCCTGAAGTTTGTTACTGTGCTTCTATATAGCTCTTTAACCTTTTCTATTTCTGCAAAATAATAACCTTTGCACCATAAGAATATAGCTGGATATGGGGAAGGGAATAAGGTGGAGGTGGGAGAAGAATGTAAAGGAATGAGGGGATGAATACGATTAAAATATGTGCATGTATGAAAGCACCACACTTATTTTGCATGTATGAAAGCATCACACAATATTTTGTAAAATTAATAGGCATTAAGAAAAATACATTTTAAAAGAATATTATAGTTTCTAGCCTTTATTTCTTATTTATTACATATAAACTTACCTATTCATTATATTACCATAGCAGTAAAGACTTCACTTAGCTTTTTTTGAGACAGGGTCTCGCTATGCAGTTCAGGCTGAATACACTGAACTCACTATGAACTACTCTGAACTCACCATGTCACCCAGGCAGCCTTGAACTCACAGCAATCCTGCTGCCTCAGCCTCTTGAGTGCTGGGATAACAGGGGTGAGCCACCAGGCCCAGCTTAACGATCATTTTTAACTATTCCCAAAAAGCTAAACAAGTAACTGAAGAGAAACGTTCCTTTCCATAGCCAAGCACATTTCCATAGCGTATTCTGTCACAGACACAACTTAAGAAATATGATGAGATTAGTATTAAAAGCTATTTCCTGGTAATAGAAAACTTAAGTTTTAAATTTCATTTTAAAGCTAACTATTTTAAAGCACATCTTTACTGAAAGTATACCATTTAACTTTTTTTTCACTGTAGAGGGACATATATGAGAACACAAAAGTAACATGTTAGGACACAGAGGGAAGTGGTCTCAGGAACCATAAGAGTTAAAACTGTAGTTCAATTCTACAAATATTTGTTGAGTTTGCATTATGAGTAAGATATTGTGTGTTGGGCACAATGCAGAACTCACAGAGGAACTGGAAACTATCATTATCGTTTAGGAGCTCTCCATGCTCATGGATGTCCGATCTGGTCAAATGCTTTCTTGCTTCCATGCATCTACTCATACTATGGTCTCTGCTTGAAACAGGTTTGGCTTCTGAATGCCTACCAGGCCTTCTAATTCCACATCATCTGAATGAATACAGCCTGAACTCTCCCATGCCCTATTCCACATGGTGTTTCTAGCCATAGTAACTGCTCCTTGCTTAGAATATATCAATCTTTATTTATAAATTTTTTTTTCAAGATCTTATATAGTGTCATTTATTTATGTATACTGTATTATGCCATATGGTCTTCAGAAGGTCCTTAAATCTCCTGTAGTTGTTTGTGAAGTTTTCCAGCAAGAAGAGACAAAGTAATCACCAATTTCATAAGATGTTTTCCCACTCACAGATGATTAATATAAGTGAATGAATTTACAACAATATGCTATGTGTAACTGAATCTGACCATTAGGTTTGGGTTTTTGTTTTTGTTTTGGGGATTGGGATTACACCCAAGACATTCAACATCTCTAGTCCTTTGTTTATTTTTATTTTGAGACTGGGTCTTGCTAAGTCCCTAAATTGCCCAGGCTGGGCTCAAATTTGTTATCTTCCTCCCTCAGCCTCCTAGAGTGCTAGGGATACAGGCATCTTCCACCACAAGCTGGGTCACTGGGCTCTTAAAACTGTACCAAGCAACTGAGGAGAAATATTTCTTTTATATATCCAAAACACAACTGTTTCATAAATGTAATATAAAATTATATCACTATCAAAGCTAGTCTCTGCTAACAAAATAACAAAATTTCTAAAATAGAAGATTTGAGAATCTACTAAAATAGGAAGGAATTCTGTAAGCTTAAGTGTGAACTCAAAAAAAAATAGAAGCATGTTTTCAAAACTTAACAAGCATGGCTTTCTGCAAGGTTTTTGTTGTTGTTTTTATTGATTTTTAAAATAAAGAAATAAAATTAAATCAAGGAACACATTAACATATGGACCAATAGTCTTATGAATACAAACAAGGAAAGGATATTCATGTTTAAGAACTATAAAACTCATGTGTCAGTCAAATTAAATTACATTTTCAACTAAGCAGCAGCTGGTATTTTTAAGAACACATGAGGCAGAAATAAAACCTAAATCATCTAGTAATCATGTGCAAGGATTCACATTCATAGAATGCAACCTCAAATACATGGTGTCAGAGAGATGCAAAGAACTCAAAGATTCATGAATAAAAAGCATGCACTGTGAACAAAAACCTAAATCCAAAACAGCCATCAAAACTGAAAACTGCATTAAAAAGCCTTCTGAAATGTATTGCCAATCTGTCTTTTTAAGGAGACTGATCAGAGCTATTAGTTCAAATTATACTAAATGTGCTGAATATTTTACATCTAATCGGCAAATCAGATGCAACTGAATTATGAAGACCAGGTGGCATCTAACCAAGACTTTTAAGAAATAGGGAATGGTTAGCTTGTTATTATAAGCAGCCAGTCTGTCAGTAAATAGTGGCTGCTAACAGAAGAGTCAATAAGACAGGTTCTGAAAGGCACAATGACACAACAGTTCATCTTATTTCTAGTCTGAACAAATTCATAATACTGACACTAACAAAACACACTTTATAAGAAGAAAGAAGAAACTTTGCTAGCAAGATGATCATAAACAGAGATTTGGGGTGGGGGTTACTGGGAATCAAACCCACAGCCTTCACACTGAGCTATATCCCCAGCCTGTTTTTTGTTTGTTTTTATTTTTTGAAACAGGGTCTTGCTAAGTCACAAAGTTGCCCAGGCTGGTTTTGAACTTGTGATTCTCCTGCTTCAGCCTCCCAGAGTGCTGGGTTTACACATGCCACCACACCCAGGATGAACAAAGATCTATTAAAAAACACGTCAACATGAGGAGTTGGAGAAACTATTTTCTTGTTTGGTTGTTTGGTTTGGTTGTTTATTATTATTATTATTATTATTCATTAGGTTTATTGATACAATTTAGGTATACATTGTGATCACATTCATCATTGGGAAATTGTATCTGTATATGATATATATTGGTTGGTTTTTTTGAGACAGGGCCTCACTTTGCAGTTCAGGCTGGCTCTGAACTCCCTATGTAGCCAGGCTGGCCTCAAACTCACTGCAATACTTCTGCCTCACCCTCCCAAGTGCTGGGATTACAGGTGTGTGCCACTATGGCCATCAGAAACCATTGATAAAACATAATATAACAAAGCTCCTGAAACAAAAGCTATGTAACAAAACCCTCCATCTAATAGACACTTATACTCCAATATTCAATATAACTCTACAATGTGGATTTTCTTTTCACACTTGTTTAAAAACAAGTGTGCCTAAAGTCACACTTAGGCAGAACTGAGGTTTGAAGACTACCTGGTTAAGCAGAGAAGCACTGGTGCTATGATTGGAACGTCCCTCAAAGGCCCATGTATTAAATAAACACTTGTTTCTTAGTTTGGCACTATTAGAAGGTGGCAGAAACTTGAATAAGAAGTGGGGCCTAGAGGGAGGTCTTAGGTTGCTGGGGTGGGAGGTGCCCTCAAAAGAGGTCTGGGGACACTGGTCTCTTCCTCTTCCTCTTCCTCTCTGTTTCCCAGCCACCATGAGCTTGCGCCACCAAACATCCCTGCCATGATTTACTTCTTCAGCACTGGCTCAGAAGAAAAGGGGCTAAAAGACCATGGACGGAAGTCTTTGAAACAGTGAGTAAAAATAAACCTTTTCTGTTAATAAGCTAATTATCTCGGGTATTTGTAATAGTGGTGAAAAGCTAACACAACAGCGTTTCCCAAAGGAGCAGGATGAGATCCAGGATTACTGATCCCATGTTTCTCCCAAATAAGACCTAACTGGAAAACAGGTGCTGGTGGTTACCATGGTGATGCCCAGTGTCCTGCAGAAGATTATACCTCACTACTCTCTTGCTCCCTGGCCACTCTGTAATGGCAGGTAGGGGAAGGTGATTAGAGCTGGCACTTTTGATCTCTAATTTTCAAAGCTGATTATTTATTTTCCAGTTAGGTCTTATTTTTGAGGATACATAGTCTTAGTCAGTATTTTACAAATGTCTGAAAAGTAAAATTAAGAAAGCATTAAGACTCAGATAATATTAATCCTAAAATCCTTTGGAAAAAATAAACTTATAAACAAAACTGTACATATCAAGAAGAAAGTTGTTAAAATATTGGGATAGAGTTTGTAGAAACTTAGAGGATGAAAAAGCCGTGGGGTAAAATACTTATGGCATATTTTATGAGACTTAAATTATACCTCAACATAGTGAGGAAATAAGGCTTAACAGTGGAAAC